TTTAAATGTAATCGGGATATTCTGTATGTAGTATTTCTTAGTCCACTTGCTTCTTACTAGTTCGTTATTATTCGTATTTATTCTATAAATATGAGTATAATCTACTGATCCACTTATTGATTCTATTTTACAGTTAGGTTTACCTTCTTCGTTCCAGTTATAATAATCTCCCACTGAGTGCACCTGTCCATGTTGTTTGTTGTACGATCCTGGGTTTGTCTTCTGTCCGCTGCTTGATGTCTGCTGTCCGCTGCTTGATGTCTTCTTATCCGGGACTTGTGATGCTTGCTGGCTTTTTTTACCACGACACATTTTAACAAAATGGCCCTTTTTCTCACAGCCTCTGCATACTATGTCTTTGGCTTTGCACACATTTAGATGTCCGAGCGAAAATTGTTGCCCACAGTTGTAGCAAAAACGAGTGACTGCATTGACGGATCTTGGAGTTCCTTGGTCCAAAAGGGTTTTGTTGGCATTTGCCGCTTCGTACACCTTGCATTTTTGAATTATATGAGACAGCGGCTCATCCTCTCCGTCAAGCAATTTAAGCTGCAGTGTTTTGTCGTATATACCCAAAATAATTCGGTCCCGTAACATGCGGTCATTATAGGATTTGCCACAGCTACAGTTGAATTCGCAATAGCGAATTTGGGTACGCAACTCTGTTTCAAGTTCAGAAAACGCTTGTTTTTCTTTTTGGGTAATCGTGTTGCATTTGAACGATTCCATAGCCACGTTTTTTTTTTTAATACAGTACTCGTCAAAGGCGTTGAGCACGTGCGCTATCGAACGTGTACTCTCACCGCCAGTACCATCACGGTCAGTATCCGCGGATCTACCCATAGCAAGCACCTGCTCTGTTGACCCATCATTTGGGAACAGGGTGTTGTAAATTTCAACTGCCTTCAGTCCCACCAGCCATAGGAATGTAGCAATTTTGACATCCTCCCTTTCTTTTAGTTTTCCGTTTGATTTCAAGTACATGCAAAATGTGCTCTTCCATGTTGGCCAGTCTTTTGCCAGATTACTGCAATCCAGCTCGGGAGGCAGCCTATTCTCAGCCATAGTTATAATCAAAGGTCCGATTCTGACACCAAGTAATAAGTCAATAAGATTCCGTAGCTTCCGCGTGGTAATGTTTATTGAAGTTTTCAGGTCTCTATCCTAGTCGGAAGTGAGCGAGATCATCTTTACATATCACAAACCCATGATGCAATAATACAAGGTGGTATCAGTTGTGACAGCTCGATTTGACACTACCTTAGCTCAGTAGAATGAGAAGAAAAACGGGAAGAAATGAATCCCCATATGGGGGAAAAATATAAAATTTCACATTTTCTCCTTAACAAAATTTGCTTTTTTATAGTATATTCGTTATGAAATGAAATAAAATAAGGTAAAATACCTTTTTAAGAAAACAAAGTGTGTATACTGAGAAAAAATAAAAAGCATTCAACTATATTAATGGGCAAAGAATAGTGGAAGAAGTAACACTGTTTCACGTAAGGTAGTCAATATGGCGGAATTAGAGGGAGAAGTTGCCAACTGGCAACACCTTGTATTATTGCATCATGTCACAAACCTACTTATAGTTGATGTGTTAATAATTTCTTGTAATATAATACTACTGTGTTAATATCTTTGATGTAACATAATTCATAAACCTACTTATAGTTGATGTGTTAATAATTTCTTGTAATATAATACAACTGTGTTAAAATCTTTGATGTAACAAAACTCGTTAGTGTAATACTTAAGGCCTATTCAGACTAGAGTGTATACCTTAGGGCTTGTACACATTGCTTATTACAACTAAAAGTTCAATTGCTAAGCTTTCTCCATTCATCGATTCACTGTCAATTCTCCGGGTCGGCGGCAGACTTAGGAATGCACACTGTAACATCGAAACTAAAGATCGAATCATCGTGTCAAAGGACAGTACTCTAGCGCGACCATTTCTTCGCACTGGCGTAGACTCTTCTGGCCCTTTTTTGATTTTCACAAAAGTCGCAATGCTGCTCCAATCAAAGGATATATATTTCGCTGTTTTTGTATGCCTTGCTACACGCGCAATGTATCTTGAAGTTGTCTCAAATCTGACTACACACGCTTTCGTAGCAGCGTTAAAAAGATTTGTCTCCCGAAGAGGTTTGCCATCCGATATACACAGCGATAATGGCATAAACTTTATTGGCGCCAACCGCGAGCTAATGAAAAGTTTCAAATAGATGTCCAAATCTCGAGATGTCGGGTCATATATGGCTACTTCATTCATCAACTGGCATCTAATCCCACCAAGGTGCACCCCATTTCGGCGGAATTTGGGAGTCGGCCGTTAAAGCAACGAAATTTCACCTCCGACGTGTTTTAGGCGAAACAAGGCTCACTTACGAAGAATTTGCTACCTTACTTTGTGAAATCGAAGCACAACTCAATTCTCGGCCTCTCACAGCTCTTTATGATGACGACGTTGACAAAATCAATGTTTTAACATGGGGTCATTTTTTAATTGGCCAGGCACTGGTACAAGTAGCTGAACCTGGACTCGAACACATTCAAATGAACCGACTCTCTCGATGGCAGCTTCTCACGCGCTTGCAACAAGAATTTTGGCGTCGCTGGCAGCGTGAATATCTCACTACACTGCAGCAGCGAGCTAAGTGGTATACAGAAAAACAAAATCTAAAGCCTGGGGCAATTGTCATGATATATGAAGAACGCGCTCCACCACCGTGCTGGCAAATGGGTCGAGTTACTGACGTGCACCCGGGCAAAGACAATTTGGTTCGCGTAGCAACAATTAAAACATCTCATGGTTCGATAAAGCGCCCTGTTACTAAATTATGCAATCTTCCTACTGAGGAGTAAGGTGTCTCTTATCAGGCGGGAGAATGTTCTGATTTTATGATGTGTCTAAAGTTGTGTATTATTTAATGTTTTATCCCCATTAAATGTTCCAAGTTTACATCACTGTCCTTTATATGAAGTACTCTATTTATTTCTCCCTTTCTAGTCTGTTACAATAAATCATTTGCATATTATCAACCAAGCAGTTGACTTGTGTTTGCATTGTCTCGGTGTAGTTAACGTCACTCCATAGTTACAGTCCACTTTGTAATTATCGGCAACACCGACCATGATAAAATTTTCTATACTTCTATTTATTTTTTTCTTTCGAAACGAGATGTAGCCCTTGAATCGATGTTACTCATAATAATTCGACGTACAGAAGCTGTTGAGCGTATACGATCTCACCAAATGACCTCGTTATCGCACACGCAGATACCAGAGGAAAATGGTCACACTTTACCATTACGGTTTCATCCGACTATCGAGGATGTCCTGCGATCTATTGGTATCACCAGTGGAGAAAGATTGTGCTTTTGTAATGATGCCGCTGCTTGTCTTATGATTTGTTCGCCAGTTTTGGGAGAATCAGAGAATTCCAGCCATAAACGAGCACACTACACAAACTTTTATCAGCTTATTGGCCATTCTGCAAAAATCTTTGGACAATGTGGTCCATTTATGCTATATTGCAGTACACACTTACAAAATGTTCCTCTGTGATGCAGTAGCGGCCCAACTCGTGTCATTTATGCAGAGCTGGAGTATATGGTCCTGCCCTAGGACATCGCAAAGTTGATTGGACCACCTTTTTATATGTATTTTAGTTAATTTTGGATACTCCTTGAACTTTAGGAATACTCTTTACATGAGTGCATGGAGTACCTAGTCGCGTTTTTGCATTGTAGCTTAAGACACGTACAAACATACACACATATGAGCGGCCGGCAAAGCAACGAGGATAGCGAAGAAAAAAAAACAAAATCAGGCTGACTTCCAAAACGTATCAATACAATGTTTGGAAACTTTTATACTGCGGTATTCAAACTGTTTGTACATGCAGAGTTGCGACACATTGCAACCTTATACATTGCATATTTTAAATATTCAATTTAGCAATGAACACTTTTTCTGAATTTTCCATTTTTAAAACACCAATGGTAACCAAAAACAAACGAAGCATCAACTTTGTTTCTGATGCGCTGATTGCTCTAGCGATGCGTTTCGATAACTTTTCGAATGCGTTTTGGAAAAGCATACATTGTCAACGTTTTGTAGTTCGGCGTTATGGGACATTATACTTTGTACGTATGCAAAGCAATTGACGTTTTGGAAGTCAGCCTCACTTCGATGTGACCCGTCGCTTGAATTCTATGCGCTGACAGATTTACGCACGTAGACTCTACGTCGGCACATAAACACACAAACGCGCATTGGCTAGCTGACTGCTTCACTCCCCATACAAAAAAAACTGTACTGTTTTCCATTGGAATAATAAAATCTATTATATTTTAATACCTCTAAAAATGGAGTTTTTTTATGAATACAAATAGTTTCTTAAAGATGTTTTTTGAAAAAATCTCCTTAAATGACAAAACGATTTAAGCTTAAAAATTAACCTATAAATATAAAAAAAAATTGAACGGAGTCGTAATAATGAGATTTTTTATGCTGTTTTTTAACTTTTTTCAAAGATTGGTATAAGAAAAACTTGAATAACTGAACCTAAACTCTTCCGATTTAGACTTGTGGGGTATCACTGGAAAGGTATTTTCTCACCCTTTTTAATGCTAATAAACTCATTCAAAGGATAAAAGAGAAAGGTAGGATGAATGAACATCATTCAAAGTTGAATTAAGATGTGTTGGGAAAATACCTTTCTACCGAGATCCCATAAGTCTCAGAATAGTTTTGGCCCAGTTATTTTAGTTTTTCGTAAATCAATCTTTGAAAAAAGTTTAAAAACCGCAACAAAAATCTCATTATTACGATTCCGTTGAAAAGATTTTTAAATATTTTTATGCAGATTTTTTAAGCCCAATCTGTTTTGTCATCTGAAGGTACTTTTTCAAAAACTTCTTTAAGAAACTATATTTATTCATAAAAAACTCCCTTTATGGAGGTATTTTCAAATCGGCCCAGATAGCTTAAATCTTAATATTTTTCTGAAATATTTCGGTGGACGCCTTAAAATATAATAAATTTTGTAATCCCGGCGGAAAAACTGCAACTTACTTTGGTGATGCAGTCTAATGTACATACATACGTATGGCTGCATTGTGGCGCCGCCGGCAAAGCGACAATAAAAACGAAGAAAACAAAAACAAAATCACTTCAATTTGACTTCGAGACTTCGCTGGAATTCTATGAGCATACTTAAATACATAACTACACACTTAAAGGCAAATCTCGTACAAATGCCTATTGTTTTTGCTGTTGTTGTCACGTTTTTCGTTTCATCGAGTTTCAAATCACTCCCGCCGCTAAAGAAGTTTTTACTTTAATAAAAAATTCAATTGAAAGTTATCTTTTTTAAATGAAATAAGTTATTTTCTTTCAATTAATTGCCTGACAAAAAGGGTTACCTTGATAGGGTAAATTATGTAATAATATGAATGCATTATAAATTTATATTTAATAGAATTAAACTATTTCTAAAAGTATCAACCACTTTTGTGCATCATAGACAAAAATATGAAAAGATAAGCTAATTAAGCTACTGGGTTCATACCCCATTTATAAAGGTTATAATCCTTTTCTTTTTATTTATTAATAATTCTGCTGAAATTATATTATTTTTTATTTTAATAATAGGAACAATAATTATTATCATGATACAAATATTTAAAGGGAAAACCGCTCGCTCAATTCGTCCCCCACTGGGTTTTTTTTTGACGTTTGCTAGCATTTTGAGTTTTCTCTCTCGAAATGCTTCTAATGTCAAAGAAATTCAAAATAAACAAATGAAAATTTATGATTTGAAATATTCATTTATTCAGAAGTTGAGAAAACTAAAACAATTCGAAACGAAAAATTAGTTGCTGCTTTAACGGCTGCCCAAATTCCTTTTCCTCTGCAAGCAAAGCAATCTAAAGATCCTCAAGTTCCCGCAACTATCGTATATACAGCAAAAATTGAACGAGGTTTGTGGTGTTATGAAAACGGATTTGCCAAAGTGCCCCTATGTATGCTCGACTCATTTTTTGCCACACCACCTGACCCAATGTAAGCACAAGATAGTTCTTTGCAAAAGTGCAGTGCCGTTAAGGTAAAATATCTTCAAATGCATGCCAAAAGCTTCGCCTTAACATGCGGGCAGAAGTCCATTACAGACAATTGCTTCCGTTTATTTATTTACATATGCATGAATATGCAAATTTTGTTGTTTCGACAGAAATATATTTCTTTAGTTTGTTTGAAAATAAAAACGAAGAAAATGCGAAATGACGGCGAGAGAAATTTTCAAAATGCTAGCAAACGTCAAAATTCTTAAAGTTGGCTCTCAGCGATTGTACCTTATAAATATTTGTATCATGATTACTATCTCATCTAATTCTTGGTTAGGTGCATGAATAGGTTTTTTCCCCCTAATAAGAGATAATAATTTAATATCAACAGAAGCCTCCCTTAAGTACATTTTAACTCAATCAATTGCATCAGCTGTATTATAACACTATGCGACAGTCAAAATCGGGATGGGATGAAACCAACGGGAAATGTTATATCGGTCAAAAACAAGTTATACGTGTCCCGGCGTTTCGCTGGGTCACGTCTAGGAATCGAGATATATATATAACTATCATATAGGGGAAATTGTCACCTTTGGTGGTCTTTTTTTGACATAACTCGAGAACCATTAGTCCGATTTTGCTCAAACAAACTTAAAAATTACAATTCCTTTAATCTGTTCATATAACGTTTTTCTATATAATCAACAGTTTTGCCGGTAAAAATAAATGTATGAAGAAAAAAAATATTTTTTGCTTAAAATATTAAATTTTTTTAAAACTGTTGATTACATAGAGAAACGTTATATGAACAGATTAAAGGAATTGTAATTTTTAAGTTTGTTTGAGCAAAATCGGACTAATGGTTCTCGAGTTATGTCAAAAAAAGACCACCAAAGGTGACAATTTCCCCTATATAATAGTTATATATATATATCTCGATTCCTAGACGTGACCCAGCGAAACGCCGGGACACGTATAACTTTTTTTTTTACCGATATAACTTTCCCCGGTAGTTTGAACCCTTCCCGATCACTGACCGCTACCATAATTTAATATTTAATAATTTAATTATTTATTCATCTTTATTATTAAAAAGTGGAGCAGCACCATAACATGATAAAAAATTGCTCCTCTTGTATTAATTTCTTATACTAGTTGAAGAAATTGTATTTATTTAGTAATTATTCTTTCAACAGTAACAGGTTCATTAGGAGGATTAAATCAAATTTATCTTCGTGAATTAATAGCTTTCTCTTCAATTATTCATCTAGGATGAATATTAACTGCTATACAAGCTAGTGAATCAACTTGATTAATTTATTTTTCCATATACATATTCATTTTTATCTTTTAGATTAATTTTTATATTTAATAATTTTAAAATATACCATATTAATCAAGTTTTTAATTCATTTTTTAATTCGAAAATTTTTAAATTTTGTTAATTTTTTAATTTGTTATCTTTAGGTGGACTTTCATCATTTATTGGATTATTACCAAAATGATTAGTTATTTAACTTTTAATTGTTAAGAATCAATATATGTGACCTGGTCTACGAAAAGGGAGCTTACGTGCGAAAACTAGTTTTCTGTGAAAAAGCTGTTAAAAGTAAGCAACTCGTTTCGTCAGTTTCTCATTATCTCGTTAATTGTTCTCCGCGCCGGACGTCCAGTAAGTGTTGTTGTTGGTCCAGTAAGTGTTGTTGTTGGTCCAGTAAGTGTTGTTGTTGGTCGGTTTTGTTCATTACCAATAAATTATATTTTGTCGTATTTTTACTCTTCTTTCTCTACATTTTTAGTACACTTCTAAGCAAGTTAGGATTTTCTGCTTTTCACCACGTGAAAAAGCATCTCATCTTCCATCCGAATCAACCAAAAAGTGAAAATTGATTTTTTGACACCTAAGCCCCCTTTCCGTAGACCAGGTCACATATCTTAATAACAATAATAACTATAATATCTTTAATTACATTATTATTTTTTATTTACGTTTATGTTTTGCTGCATTTATAATAAATTATTCTGAAAATAATTGAATCAATAATATACAAATAAATAATTATTCATTTAAATGTATATTATTTTTTTTAACATTTAGATTGATCCTAATTTCTTTAATTTACTTTACTTTTTAATTACAAATAAATTTAGCTATCTAAATATTTATAAAAGGTTTTAAGTTAAAAAAACTAACAACCTTCAAAGTTATAAATATAAGTTAAATCTTTTAAGCCTTAGTAATTATTTTTACTCCTTTAGAATTGCAGACTACTATCATTATTGACTATAAAGCCTAATTGATTAAAAAGAATTAATTCTTATAAATAGATTTACAGTCTATCGCCTAAATTCGGCCATTTAATCGCGACAATGGCTATTTTCAACAAATCATAAGGATATTGGAACTTTATATTTTATTTTCGGAGCTAGGGCCGGAATAGTAGGAACCTCTCTTAGAATCTTAATTTGAGCTGAATTAGGACATCCAGGAGCTTTAATTCGTGATGACTAAATTTATAATGTAATTGTAACAGCTCATGCTTCTGTTATAATTTTCTTTATAGTAATACCTATCATAATTGGGGCTGGAACAGGTTGAACAGTTTATCCCATTCTTTCATATGTTATTGCTCATGGAGGAGCCTCTGTTGATTTAGCTGTTTTTTCTTTACATTTAGCAGGAATTTTATTTTATTTTAGGAGCAGTTAATTTTATTACAACAGTTATTAATATACGATCAACTGGAATTACATTTGATCGAATGCCATTATTTGTATGAGCAGTTGTATTAACTGCATTATTATTATTATTATCTTTACCAGTATTAGCAGGAGCTATTACAATACTTTTAACAAATCGAAATTTAAATACATCATTCTTTGATCCTGATCTTGGTTTTATTGTATGAGCACATCATATATTTACAGTAGGGATAGATGTTGATACACGAGCTTATTTTACTTCAGCAACTATAATTATTGCTGTACCAACAGGTATTAAAAATTTTAGTTGACTAGCTACATTACACGGAACTCAATTAAATTATTCTCCAGCTATATTACTTTAGGATTCGTTTTTCTATTTACAGTTGGAGGTTTAACAAGAGTTGTTTTAGCTAATTCTTCAGTTGATATTATTCTTAATGATACTTATTATGTAGTTGCACATTTTCATTAGGTATGTTCATCTCGAGAAACGTAGGATACTCTCGTACTGGGTGGTCAGATCGATCACAGACGGGACACGTGACCGAGTTTTTAACCGCGTACATTGACTTAATTCCCCTTTTGTCACCTGATTGGGTACCTTCATTCTTGTGTCGATTGTAAGACTCCGATTGTAAGACTCCGATTGTTGTTGTTTTATATTTACCTTGCTCGATGTGATTAGCATGTGGTGCTGTTAATCTAAGAAACTACAGAATTTATCAAAGGTTGGGATATCACTTTGCTTTCCCATAGCTCGGTCCCACTCCACACGCAAATTTTTCGGCAACTTTTTAACAGATAGTAAACAAGAAATTGGTTTGGGCTATCAATATTTACACCTAGTTTCTTTATTGAACTTAGACATGACCTAAAGGTTTGTGTAAAATGTTATAAAGATATTTGATCGCAGTGACCCATGTCGAGTTGCTGATCGAGCACATCCATATAGTGCATGAACAGAATCCTCTTATTGTCGTATTGTTTGGATAACATTTCCCACGTCTCATGGTAGTTTTCAGCGAGCAAACTCAGGTGTTGGATGTCATGAGCTGCATCACACGATAATGAAGTCTTAAGATAGTGGAAACGCTGTAAATCGCTTAGGTTGGTGTTCTGATAAATACGATCCAAAAATACTTCTTTAAAAGATGGTCACTCAAAAATTCTAAAATTCACTTTACATTTTCTAAAATTCAATTGACGTTTTCTAAAATTCATTTGACTATTCTAAAATCCAATTGACGTTTTCTAAAATCCAGTTGGCTATTCTAAAATCCATATTACGCCTCCAAAAATCAATTTACTACTAAAATCCAACTGACTCTCTCTAACATCCAATTGACCCTCTCTGAAATTAAACTTGAAATGTTGTAGTGCTGCCACAAAATAGTTA